TAGATTGGGTGACCAATATTATTGGTTCCAATAGATTGGGTGACCAATATTATTGGATCCGAATATTATTGGATACCCAATAGTATTGTACAATATCTCCAATAACGATTGGTATTGGTACATGCCTGGATTTATCGCGTTTAATCGCACGATTAATCGGCCATTTTTTGGCTTGTTACTTTGGAAACCCAGCAGAAAAATCGCGATTAATCACCATTTTGAGCCAAAATCGCGATTAATCGGTAAAAGTTAGGCGATTTCGTCGACATGGATAGACGTCAACCCTAGTGAAACGTCCAAACTCACGATCTTGGTAAGGGAACATAAGAAGTTAAAGACATTTCAAGAGCCCAAAAACTTGAACTGCTTGCCGTTTTGTACCAAGGTCTTAATAAGATCTTGAGTGGTTGGATCTTGTACCCAAGATCTTGGAACTCTTGATTCATCGCTTTGTTATACACTTTTGTGTAACATGCGCTTGTTTTCCCACTTAGAATAAATTTGAATTTTTTTCCTTCTTGTACATAGTCGTTTAAGGAAGAACCTATGATTATATATGATGAGTGAAGAATACGGCAAAAGTTATTCATGCATATAGATTTATTTAAAAACAAATAAAAAAATAGAAGTATTACTAAATAAAAATAATATACGAACATACTACGACAACTAGCCATGTTAAATCTTTCTGTAGCATCTAGAACGTTGAAAAACAAAATCATTCTTGATTATGTTTAAAACTTGCCTTTGAAGCTAACTTAATAAGTATAGAAACGTTTCTGATGAATTAAACGAATTCAACCTTGACAAAAAAATTGACTTGATAGACTACAGATAATATTCAATACCATTACATTTAACTTGATACATTGTACGCGTTGTTGAAATCTATTCGTTTTAAAATTAAAATTCTTATACTAGTTAAACATTCATTCTTTCTATTATCAGAATTTATTAGAAGTTAAGATACAAAAATTTGAAATAAATTGTAGCGAAGTATCAATCAAAAATTGTGTAGAGAGGTTTCAATTGTTTATATACATATTAGTCTCCTTTAGCAAGGAACAAGCAATCTTCGTCAACAATTAAAAGCACAAGATTCACCGTACAATGGAGTACATTTTTTATGAAATAAGGTAATCTAACAGAAAATTTAGTTCACACAGGTAGAACTACATTATGTTTTTCATTTTATAGTTAGATGAAGGAAAAGGTGTATTAATAAAAGAAGTAAATCGACTCGAAATATTGAACAAAGAATGACAAGAAGAAATAGAACAAGTATGTGTTAAACTATTCATCTCTAATTTGTTGTTGTTATCCACGTAAGCTTCATTTCTAGTTACGACGATCTACTGGTGACCGAAATGATACGTCACAAAACGAAGGATAAAGAAGTTTCATTATTACGCAAATTCATCATTAACCAAATTTTCAAAATACTATTAAAAATATGCAAATTAAATTGGAATTAGCAAAAAGCAAATAATGAGTTCTGAAACCAGCAATCTATTCCTATATTTTAACAAATTTTAGCTAAAACTATTGTAACGTCAATTGAATATCGAAATTCAAAATGAGTAAATGTATTTTTGATCACCAAATTTTCCAGCATGCATTATCACATTTTTATTTCTCAACAAACACAATTGTACAATACAAACATATTCATTGAAATTTTAACCAAATGAACAATATTTATTTATTTATATCTATTTAAAAAATTTAAAGCTGTGCTAACTTCCTTGGGCTAACTTTCTGCTGGGAAAAATCGAGGATTTTTTTTTTGGGGGGGGGGAGGAGGTGTCGTGTCAAGGGCAATGAAGATGTTTATGTTGTACATTATACTTTGTTAAGAAATAAAAATGTGATAATGCATGCTGAAAAATTTGGTGCTCAAAAAAATTGATACCCATTCAAAATAGTAATTCAACAAAACACAAAACGTATGATTTAGAATTAAAGAATATTCAATTACAAGATGAAATTAATATTATCCAACGAGATAAGGATATTTTAACATCCGTTAGTGAAATCGACTTAAACATAGCAAGTTTAACACAAGTTCAAAAAATCTAAACAAACTGAAGGTGTTTTCACATATCGATCAAATAACCCTTTTTTTTTTCAAAAATTTTTCAAAAAGTTACCGTGTGGGACGAAAGACAAAATGATGTCGAAAAATTTTTCTAAAGTAGCCCGATCTAGAAGTTATTGCGTACCACATAATCAACCATGGAGAAGACAAATCCACAATCTGTTTTGACCGAACAAGCTTTTAAAATTTTTCGATCTGGTTATATGATAAAATAATAATTCATATTTTCAAATCATAACTCATTGAGATACCATGATACTTTTTGGATTTTATCTATTAATTACAGTCTTTTTTTGCTGAAATAACTGTTTTTATCAGCTCTTGGACGCGATGCTTTTTACGTACAAAAGTGCAAATATTTTTTCCTATTATTTACATGCAAAAATTCTTTAGTTAGACAATCCATAGGTATTATAAAATTTGAATGTAATACAAAAAGATACTGCCAACCATCAGTTTTATACTTATAGTCAAATTTTTAAGTTGTACAATCTTAAATATTTTGTATGAAAAAATTTGTTCTTTAGCTATCTATATCTGATGTTTTTGATCAATAAAGTGAATTGAGCGGATTAAAAATAGCTTAAAAAAAACAAGAAAAAAAATTAATTTACTAAAAACAGAATTCTATTTGATCTGTTACAAACATCTGTAAATAGCAGCAGGTATCGCAGTTTGTTGTATATTCATTCAGTGTTTTATGAATTCTTAATAGAAGTCAAAAATATATTCAATGAACAAAATGAACTATTCATTTCTTACTACTCAAGCAAAAACAGTTCTTTTTTTGAAGCTAACTTAATCTAGGTGGAAGGTTAAAAGTTGCAGCTAGTTTCTAGCTTAAGCTGGGTGAATATTCTCTCTCACCTAGATTAAGGTAGCTTCAAAAACAAAAAATTGTTTTTTTGTTCGAGTACAGAAGTCTCATTGATATATCTAATAGTAAAAATAAAGTTCTTTTTGTAATTACTATATCATAATTTAGATATGAATGAAATAGCGAGGTTAATCTGAAAGTGTATTTTTTTATGCGGTTATTCACAGTTCATGCATACACATTATTATTTTGAAGGTGTATATATTTTAGCTATTATTATTGTTTGAACTGTAACTTATTCTACGTTTTGATTGTCAGTATATTCACTATTAGCACTATAGTTTAACAAAAAAGTTTACTTAATATCTGTTACATCTGTAGTATATTACTTGTTTTCTCCTAAAAAATAAAAAAAGACTAATTGAGAAGAACTGTTTCGACTATAATCTCCTTTTTATGACATAATATCATTCATATATGCTATTACAAAATCAAAGATTAAGTATGAACAACGTTTTTATAACAATCTTATATTTTGTTCATTGATCTTATTTTTACAATTTTTCATAGATAAGAATAATTTGGTTCCATTTCTCAAATGAAATCAAAGTTATCTCTACTATGTAAAGAAGAGGATGATAATCAACCAGATGTTATTGGTGAGTTTGAAATATTTCAAATATATGATTCATAAAATATTTTACTTATAGATCTAACGACATCATGCGCTTACTGGGGTGCATTTCAATTTCCTGTTCGACCACCAGATACATTCGCTGATAATGAGTCTGTGATATTAAATAAACTTCCAACAATTAAAAGTGAGTAGTTCTTCAGCTGATTTACGAATAATATTCTCTATTATACGTTTATCTTCTTGTAGATATTCCAGGACAATTGGAAGAGGACGCAAGTGGATCCACAAGTGCTTTAAGTGGGACAGAAAAAAACAATAGAAATGAAGGTGCAGTAGAGTGATTTTTGTTTTGTTTTAACATATATGTGCTTATATCATGAATCTCATTATCCAACAGTCTTTTCTAATTTGCATTTAAATAATAAGTCATATGATGTATGAAGAAATTTCACATAGCTGTTTCTTTAACTTGCTGCAGACAGAGATATGTACTCAACTAAGAACAATATATAGACTTTGTTTGAGATGGCCACACAGTGAATAAAAACAAGATCTTGATCAAGATCAGTCCCTGTCTCGCTGAAATGTACAGTTTTGTAGTGGAATGAAACTTGTTTGTGCAACTTATTTCTGTAAACAACTTTCGAATATCAGAAACTGAGTATGAGGCCTACATAGTGTTGTAAACGAATAAACGTACTTATTGAACAAGAATACATTTTACAAGAGCAGAGTTAAAGTACTATGCAAAGAGCTGAGTTAAACTGCAAACAGGAAAAATCAGTTTTTATGTGAATTAGCAATGACTATGTTATTCTTTATGTCTTTATTTTTACTAGCATGTTTTGCAGTAACTACCTTAGTCAGCCATTAATAATGTTGTGACATAATGATGGTGATTAATGCCTATAAGAACATTTAATGGCTATATGTGAACCAATCTCATTACCCAAAACTGATGTTATTTGTTCAATCACACTCGCTTCATAATCATCCTCCAACCTTTGAACTTCTCTAGGTATATTTTGTGCAGTTTGGCTTATTGTAGTTAGATGTCTATAAAGAAAGTTTCTCAATTTAAATCATTAATTAAAACAATTAATTTAATTTGAAAAAATTGAAAAGCCAGTTGAGAACTAATTATGAGTCCAGTTAACGTAGCGAAAACGCTGTATAAAGTTTTATATTAGTGAGATCAATAGAGCACAAAATTCTATATCTTTCTACCTAGAAAAATTAGCTATTGAACATCAGACAATGAGATAGAAATCTCAAAGAAGGAGACATCAAAATCACTAAATAATTGTGTCATAATCAGTTTTAAAAGCCAGTTAAATTTGACTTTTAATATGTTTACTAGTCAATGAAAGTTGAAATTTTGCTCTACATTTCGTTCCATTTCTAGCATTTTTAGTTCTCAGTCGGCAGCTTTTGTTCATTATATTGAATCTTCGTTGTAGTTGAGAATTATAGCGCCATTGGAAAGAAAATACAATAGGATATTAATTTCATTGCGTATTTCTAGTCTTCAGCGTGCGAAAAGTCAAAACATCAAAACTTTGTATGTATTACATACTTGAATGTGATGCCGAACAAGTAGATGAGCAGTTTATTTATAACCATTTTGAAGAACAGCTTTTCAATCTTTATTCTCTTGTAACAACTAGAGTAACTCTAAAAAAATACTTCTTGAGAAAAATTTTCATTTTTACTAAGCTAAGAACCAGTCTATACAAGAGAAACTTTTTTTAGCTGAACGAATAACATAAGGAATACATTGAAAGATTTTTCTAAAAGTCTTTTTCCCTTAAAAAATAGAAAGTCGAAAGCTACGAAGACAAGTGTCATTTGTCTTTTTAGAATCAGTGACATCGACTGTGGGCGTTGTTCTTGATCGTATTCAGAACAAAAGTCATAGAAGACAGTCAAAATACATGATGAAGTTAAATCATGATGACGTTTCTGCTATTCTTCGTCGTAATTCGTTTACAGCAAACGCATCATCTGATTACGACGTGATACCGAACACGAGAACAAAACACAGATATGTTCGATCAAAAACAGCTGATATTCTTATATCTCATGAATCATCAATAAAAAATGTTCAACTTGTGTCACGAAGAAATACACAGAGCGTACAACCTTCAACACAACGGAGAAATGGTAGTAGATGGGTAACACTGAAACACAATTTCTTGCCTGCTAAATCGAAAATGAATCTAACAGAAAATGTCTACGAGACACCGATGGAACAACAATCTTCATCATCATCTCTCGATTCGATCGTAGAAAATAAACAAGGAAAAAAAAACAGTAAAAGTTCAACATTCGAACGACCATGTTCAATATCAATACCCAATTCTTCAACATCTTATCTGTCATCGGTCGATAATCCTTTGAAAAAATCGAATTCTCCATTGGTTAATCGGCAACGAAATACGTTAAATGACGCTACTCTAGAGATAGCAAACGATACTTCTCTAGCCACGAATACCAATCGTCATCGATCACCCTTAAATGAATTACGAAATATTATACGTCGTATAGGATTCAAAAATCATAAAAATAACAAAGATTCTGAAATGATCGATTTTAATGAACAGAAAAAGACGTCTATCAAGAATCATCTACAAAAACAACAAGCAAACGAGACTCACGTACAAATAGCAGATGTAGAACAAATGAGTTTTCCAGTATGAATAACAAAACTCTAATACCCTTATTATGTTTGTATTTTTAGAGAATTATAGTTGAACCGTTGAAGGTTATTTATACTAATCCACAGAATTTTATCAGTTTTTCGCCTGTTCCTCTAGAACACGCGAATATTCAATTAGATTTTGATAAAGTCATTCAACCAGACAAACGTATGATTCAAGATCATAGTAGGTATAGTTTTGATACGAATAATGCTAGAAACCTTTTACGTAAGGAATCGATAACATATGGATCTACAACACCAGATGATATGAGTCAAGATTATCAAAGAAAAGGTTCGTATTTTCTTTTTAAAAAAATATATAATAAAACTATGTTACTCAAGGAAACTCCGATACAGGTGGTTATCGTAAACGTGATGCTCAATTACCTTATGATCATCAACAGTTACGTGTTCATTGGCATGACGAAAATATTCATCATACAACCATGGAACTTGAACAAATAGTCTCTTGTAGTCTCAATTTATCGTCAAATTTGTTCGAATTATCAAACAAAATTTTAAATTATTTACAAAATGAACTTCAATTAAAACTTACCGATTTTTATTGTTATCCAAATTCGTCAATGATATTTCAAAATGAACAAAATTTAGAGATAATTAAATATTCGATTGAGTTACAATGTCGTCAATTTGTTTTACAATCAAATTCATTGGTTAATGGAACAATAGAATCTGTTGACACATGTATTTCAACTTTAATCGATTTATATCGTCGGATAAACAAATATACAAGTATAGTAAATGATAATGAACAATCTGTTCAACTTTTGAAATGTACAATTCAACTTATTGATGTGTTTAAAAGTTGCATTCATTCAGCTAAATTATTAGTACATGGACGATTATATGATGAAAACATAAGAATGTTAATGAGACAAACATCAACATTAGCTCAAGTATTAAATGAACTATTAAAATACTTGAATAATTATAAAAATTATTCAATGGTTAGGTTTTTGTGAGTGTTTTAAAAAAAGAGTAAATTTATTCATGTGGTAGAGTCAATCTTTTTTCGATAAAGACATTTTTTTTTTGTTGCGGAATCAAAGTAAAAATATAAGAAAAAGCTTATGCTGATAAAATTTTTAGATTTTCCAGCAATTTCTTCCTTTACAAACTTTCACTCCTTGTTCTTCCTTGTTCAGAGAAATTCTGGGGAGGAGTTATACAAAAATTGCACGCCAAGTTACTATCAATATAGACCTATTGGCGAAAAATCAATCTACGTGTTTCATACTACGCTGACTATGTCTAATTAAATATTGTTTTACTTCAAATTTTAACCGTTGTATCTTTGTATTTGAGATGTCTTATTTCACCAGTTTCTAAATGTTTGATTGCTTGTCTATGTTCGATAGATTTAACGTTCTTTTCGAAAGCTGTTTGTAATATTTGAAGTGTATCGCCATGTGATACCAATAGAATAATATCATTTGAATAAAGTTTTTCTAAATTTGCAATTAATTTTGTTGTTCGTCTGATAACATCTCTTGTTGATTCAACTTGAGTTTTATTCAGTAAATGTTCATGATCATTCGTTGCATCCAACGTCCATATTTTTTCATAATTATCCATTGATTTTCCGTTGTAGATACCAAATGCACGTTCACGTAATTCTTCACAAATATTAAGCTCATCTTCAGGTATATTTAATTGATTACAAACTATTTTAGCTGTTTGTTGAGCACGCAAAAAATCGCTTGTATAAATATGAATTGATCGATCGACAGTGAGAAGTGAAGGTTTGAATTGGTCAATTGAGTGAAGAACTTGTTGTTTACCTCAAAAATGAAATAGAGTATGATAAAAAAAAAGAATTTAAATCGTTTTGTAAAAACCTGTCATGAACTGTATTTACCTTTTTCCGTAAGACCATATGTATTAACACATTGTAGCGGATTAGATGTGATGAGATGTTCTAACTGAGCTTCTGATTCTCCATGTCTTAGAATATAATAGTCATTTTTTAATGTAACATAATTCCATAAAGAATTATAATCTTTTTCTTCGACCTCATGTTCATTAGATGGTGTCAGAGGTGCGGTAACATCATGACGAATGGTGGAGTTCGGTGGTCTTGGACTTAAATTTTTTTTTTTTTGTCTGTTAACTGGTGCCAGTGTGGGTATGATCTCAGTGTCATCTGCTTCTTCGACCAATTGTCTTCGTGGCGTTGCTGGCGATTTGGACGAGTAGTATTTATAGCCAAGATACAGAAGAGTGCATGCGCCTGCACCGGCTACAACCAGAAGAGGAAGTTGGGAAGATAACTTTTGCTCTCGAGGCATTATGATCTGAAAGATATAAGAACGCTAAGAATCTACTTTTATAACATTAACTATTTCCATATTTTGTTCATTTCTGCATTCTATTCTCATAGTTGCTCTTCTTGCATTAACTTTTTAATTACGGAGCACTACTGTACGAATAATGACCATAATACAAATAAAACTCGATACCCAAGCTTGGCCTCAAATGACTAATTTGTATGTGATGATAATTGGTGTTAGCAAAAACAAATAAAAAATGATAAATTGTGATTATTCGATCATTGCGTTCTATTCGTTTGTTAGTACAAATAGAACACCATGGTATATAGAGGGATTCGGATACACTATCCGCATAGCGTTAAGAACAACGTGATTTTTCATTTATACTTTCCTTTTATGCTCAACGCACTTTAACTATTTAGAGCTTAACTGTAAATCAGCCTTAATGAGGCTGATGAAAGAGATCTCTTTTTTTTCTTGTATTGCTGTTATGTTGGGAAAACACAAGTGATTTCCCAGATCCCAGATTTGTGACGAAAATCCGTATATACAACTTACTCCGTGTACTACAACTTTTAGAATTCAAAATTTGTTGCCATCTCAGTGGCTTCGGGCCACAGAACTCCAAACATATATTTCAAAAGCTCTTGATTATAGCACCGACAAAAAAATGGAGTTCATTTAGAGTCGCGGAAAAGTGCTTTTTCGTATTCAGCACACTCGATAACCCCGAAGATTTTCTACTTTGGTGAAGAGTACTGCCAAAAATTTAGGAAAAATTTTCAAACTAATATTAGTTTCTCATGGAAATTTTTTTTCGCTATTTTGTTTGAAAATCTTTCTTAAACTTCCTTTAAATATTTCTTAAACTTTCTTTAACTGTTGGCAGTATACCCTTCACCACCTATAATATGAACTAGGGAAAACAGGATCTCAAAGTAAAACAAAAACATAAGTTCTGACAGTACCGTGCCGAAATAATATAGATGGAAGGTGTAACTTTTTTAGCTTAAAAGGAGAAAAAATAATAAACAATTAGAGGAGATGTCCTTCGAGCTGTAAAGGAGAGCTTTCAGAGAGAGCACATATCTCGTTTTTATTTAAAATTAAAATTTTACGTGTGCCGTTATCGGTGACAGCCTTTAGCTGTAAGTCAAAAACAGTGGCGGACGGTCGGCGGCATAATGGGGGACAATTGTGCCTTCTGAAAAAAAGTATTATAAAAAGTACAATTTTAAGTATAAAAAAACGTACAATGTTTGATTGCAAAATTACGTACGTCTGTATGAAGTATGTTTCTGCATGCACACTCTAGAAAGTTTATTGATTCCCTAGAAAAGTTCCCTACCCGCCCACGGTCAAAAATGACGCCGATGTGTCACTGTCATTCACTGTGAGAACAACTCTGTACCGACCGCTGCAATTGAGAAAGAAACGAACAAAAGCATCGTACATTGCACAGAGTGACGAATTAGAAAGTGGATCCCGTTTTTTCACTTTGCTGGCAAACATGGAAGCAGCACCCACTGAAAAAAAGTAAAGAAATCGCGCAGAATTTGAAACAATCTCGCCAGTTTTATTTCTCCGCAGGAATGTTTTAAATTCTAAAAAAAGCGAGTCGTGCTTTTTTAAACAGCCATATAGTAGCTTTTTTATGTAAGTAAATAACTCAAAGTGTCTACTTCAAATTTGGAGTCAAGCTTCGGATGTAGCGGTTCAATCTGAGGTTTTTGTTAAATATAACCAGTTTTCGTCCTCATTCATATTGCTCATATATTTTATGTATAAAATGATTTGAGAAAATAAACAACTATGATGATCTAATAGTCTTTAATCAAATAAGTTATATAAAAAATTCAGAATCGTTTTATTCTTTCTCCAGCATGGTACACGTAAAATGCATCCTTGGCTGTTCCCGGACCAATCACTTGAAACGTGTAAACATTGGCACCAGATACTTCTTGACCCTTATAATAAACATTTAACGCGTCTACGGCGTAGCCGTCTGATAACACGCCAAATGAATCAGCATTAGCATTGGATATTTTTTGTCCCAAGTAATAAACGTGAAAAAAATCTTTACCATATCCCATTCCAAGGTCTTGAAACATAAATGGGAATAAACGTTTTCGAATATGCGTACAGTTATTCCATTGCACAAACATTAAAGAAAAAGTAATCAATAATATAAGTTTGTTGGACATGATCAATACACTATAAGAAAAATAAGAACTGTGCACTATTAAAAGAAAAATAATTACTATACGGCCTGGCCACATAACGGTCTACCTTTTTCCGTCCGTTACGGCGCCTTATAAATCGAGATTCTAGTCGATTACTCTGGAACTTCTTTCTAGTGTAACTTACAATACTACCTTCTAACAGTGGAAAGTATTGAGCGATCAGACGAGATCTCGATATCAGGCGCCGTAACAGACGGAAACCTTCACTTTGGCCAGGCCGTATTCGCTTTGAATGATCCAGAGTTCTTCGTTTTCTGTATGTAAAAATTGGGTTGTATTTTTCAAGAATTATACCTCTTAAATGGATTGATCAAGTCTTATCTGAAAGTTATCTATGGAGAAATGAGAAAATTGTGTCTACTTTTCTAATATTCGACAATGCAATTAAAATATTAGATATTCTTCTGTGTGAATTGTTGTTTGTATTGATGTCAGTCTTGAAAAGGTCATGTAAGATTAACAAAATGCCACAGAACATCATCCACTCTTCCGTCGTGCGAAATATTTTTCCATAAGTATTAACTGCAATCTATGCGTAACAGGCATGTTACATGAGAAAGTTGGTGTAGGCTGTCTGTGTAATAATTAAACCACAAATAAATCTTTTTGTACCTAAGACTTTTCGACCTGAGCCTGAATATTTTAAATTTTAAAATCTGATCTCCACTTATTAAACTTAACTTTATTTCAGAGCTGGGTAAGTCAGAGGTTTTGTAGGCAGAACATAAAATTTACTAGTGTCTTTTAGGTGTGAGAAAGCTTTTATAGTTTCATAATAAAAAATATCTAATTTAAATGAAAATCTCTTACTAGAAATGACTTGACTTGAATATTTTTTCAAGCCCAGCCACGGTCACGAAAAGAATCTGTCAAATCAAGTCATAACCCAAAACTTTTTCAACCAAGTCAAGTCAGACTTGACTTGAACATTGAAGCATTTTTGACTTGACTTGCTCAACTCTGCTTTATTTAGTCGTACATGACATGATGCGTCGTCAAAAAATATTCAGAGATATAATAATGAAGTAATACACATGATCTAATGTAACATTCAACTGTGTTCCATCAGAACCATTCGATATTATGTTATTTCTGTTTTGTGAAGTTTTCTCTAATAATTCGAAGGATTGAGGAGTCGAACTTTATATATCCGAATCCGAAAATCTATGAAGTTTTATCGATCCCTCTCCCACTTCATCTATTACCAAGAGACAAACTGAAGACGTGCTGCTTCATCTCTTATTGTCAACTTTTTTATCTAATTATATTTGGCAACATATTTGTTCGACTGTGCAAGTTGACATCAATTTGTATTACGGTTCTTTTTATGTCATTCATATGAGTTATTATGTTTATTTTTTAAACCAGTACTAATTAAACAAAAAGAACATTAACGTAAACAATAAAATATATTTACTTCTTCATTAAAATCTTTTATTTTATTTTATATAGTGTTACTAATGAAGTAGCTTTTCACCTTGTTAGAATTAATATCTCAATAGTCTTAGCCATGTAACATCAAGAAAATGCGAAACTGCTGAGAGACCTTTTCTCATTGAATGACCGAAAAAATTCTTGTATGTTTTTGCTTTATTTATGCTCTAAAAATGGCACATGTCTATTCAGCCTATTGGCGAAGCATGGCCTGACAGTCCGATCTCATGTCTTATATCCCGAACGGGATAATTTTCCCATCGGCCTATAGAGTATATTCTGAATGGGATACATATCTCGACCGGGATATAGTCAACACTTCAATTAGGATATATATCCCGATCTAACTATGTTGCCAAACATGTTAGAAAACCTATTTAAAATATATGCGGTCACCTATTGATCATAATAAGTAAGGTTTAAAAGTCTCAGTTAGTAAATTTAGGTAATCGCATGTGGAATGATTATTCTAGAATATTAGTATTCTCAACTACGATCTCAAGACTCTCCAATATGTAGGAATACTTCAACAGTGCCAAAATTCTAAAAAAAGCGAGTCGTGCTTTTAAAGCTGGGCTTTCACCGAATCTACCGAGATGCAAATAACGGCTTCATTGCTGAACAAAAAAAACTAGATACGTTTACAAAATCCCTTCTTTACGTTTTAGAAGCGTGGTTTGGGACGTTCATGCTGGACAGGCTTTTGACTTCAAAATCGATCAAACAGCACTTTTATACTCAGTTTTTAGCTCTGAATGAGAGAAAAAACAACTTCGGGTGAAAAAGCTAGAAGAACAAACAAGACGAAAATTCGAACTTTATTGAAACTAACTTTTTACGTCCTTCGAGTATTTTCGATTTTTCGACATGAAAACAATTTTTTTAAAACTATGAAATACATTTTCTTAATCAGCTCGATGAGCTCTATCGAATGATGTATAATAAGTTAGAAAAAAATTTGCTTGATTTTTGAATTAAATGCACCTTAACTAAATTTAATAAAAATAATTTTTTTTCTTTCTTACTTAATCTGACAGCGGACGGCCATATTTCGTCGTCAATTGATTTTATATTTGAAAGTTTGCTCCACAACAGAGAGCGACAAAAGTGTTTATGCAGCCTATATCAACATGTTGACAAAACCTTTCTGTTCTAGACTGTCATCATCCGATACTTGGAGATCTTCAATCATTTATAAGCAATCTTAAGTGCTCTATCCAATGGCGCTTTTGGATCCCAAAAAATCAGCTTTCATTTTTCCCTAAAACAAAAGTTTTTTGAAAAATCAGATATATATTTTATATCCTGATCAAGATGTGCAAGTTTTCATCGAATTTTATGTGGTACCCTGAACAATGCATTATAGCCAACTCCCATGGAATCTTGTTCGGTTTTGAATCCTCTCACGAATAGCGTTGCACATTTTTTATTAAAATATAAAATTGATCCCCAAAAAACCGTTGATTGTTTTTATAGATCGATCGGGCTGTGCAGAATATCCCGATCAAGATTTGTAGCCCAATCGGGATATATTGTATAGACTGATTGAGATTTTATCCCGAATAGAATATAAGTCATGAGGACTGAACTGCCTGAAACGGATCTTTTATAGAAATGGAAACGGCTTGCTTCGCCGAAGTAAAGCCTGGTTGTAAAAAAGTCTTCTGCTAGTAGTTTAAGCACAGTGGGCATTGTTCCGTAGAACAGGCGGACATCTGATTTTTTGAGTTAAAAAATGATTATTTTCGCATAATATAGTCTTATTATGCGTCAGATATTAACCCTTTGGCTTCCGGTGACGTATAAATACGTCTAGTTGCATTTATTGCATGATCATAATAGCTAGAATAAATTTGAAAAAAGATTTGAATAGCTGGAAGAATTTCCGATCTCAGGTGGTGTATACAAAGGCTCTATCAAAACTCCTGAAATCAGGCTCTCTGGAAAACTCAAATCTCAGACCAACCAAGTCCCAGAGTTCAATCCAGAAATTCTTTGCAAATAAGTCTATCGTGTAGAGCAAACATTTCTGAAGAAATTGAGACGT